GGGCTTTGCAGAGCTGGGTGTCTTGCGAGGGTCTCTGGCGGCCGCGTCCGCACTGCATCGGCGGTGCCGTGTCTCTGTTGGCGCCCCCCTTCCCGCGCGGCACCCCTCTTCGGGAGGATCGACACGGGTACGGCAAGACTGGGTACGATGCCCAAGAGCAGTTCCTGCTCATTTTGAACAAGGCTCGCTGTCCGCGCCGCCGCGGACGTTGTTCTCTGAATACAGAAAGCCGCCTGCCCAGCAGCGGCCGCTGTCGGTTTGGGACGACATATGTTATTCGGCCTTGTATCCATTTTTCCCCTGCCCATTCCAGGCGTCCAAATCTCTGGCCTTGCTGTGCGCTGACTCTTCCCCTCTTGGGGTCCTGCGCAGTGTCTCAGTCGCCTGCGCAGCTTCTCGCAACTTGTTCGTCGAGGCCCTCACGTCCCGCTTCGAATTCAGACGCAAGCTTTCCCACGACACGGCGACGCCCCTGGACCCCACTTTCAATATTAACGCCGACATTGGCGACTGCATTTTTTGGGTTGACACCGCGCGTCCATAAACACTGAGATTCGGGGGCGAGGGGGTCGGACCAAAACTTGCGTTTGCTTGCGAGGAGGGTTGTAGGCATCCGATGAGCCATTTCTCACACCTCTTGCTATTTTTTTCCAGGTCTCTGGCGGTGGCGTTGGCGCGCTCTGCTGCGAGGCCGCACTGGGGCACTCGAGCACGCACCCAGCGACGCCGCGCGTCACATCATCTATGCAGCCCCGCCTCGTCCCCTGACCTCCCCTCAGCATCGCTCGGACGTGTGCATTTTTTATCGGCGAGGGCCATCGAGGAACATCTTGGCCCATCTTACTAAAAAATACATACACGACGAAATCGAAACATACACGGGGAATCGAAGTCCGAGCGATGGCGAGTCCTGTGTCCTCCCTCTTCACTCCTCATCCTCCTCCCAGTCCTCCATTCGCCTTCCTTACTTCCTCGCCTGCCTCCCTCCTCCCCCTCTTCCTCCTGCCAAATACAGCGACTGCAGGAGTCGGACTGGCACACTGTGCAGAAGCCGACCGTGAGCGCCAAGAAGCACCTGTCCCTCGGGAAGCCGCTCTCTGGGCCGTACATCTGGCACGTGAAGGACCCGACCTCGGGCTCGCTCGGCTCTCTGCAGGATGCAGTCGGATCGAGGTATAAGATCGAGGTCGGCTCGGGGAGGGTACGTATCCAAATGTTCTTTCTGCTTGTTGGATGTTCGTGTGCATCCTGGGGAGGGTACCCTTGGATGTTCTGTGTGTTTTGGCCGGCGGGGGGTCTCGTGTTCTTGGAGGAGGTCCTTCTGTCTTCAGGTCCGCCGGTAAGCCGATAGCTTCACAGCTTCTGTGCCGACCTCGAGGTCAAAGCGGTGGCGCCGCCACAGAAGCCACACCACTCTCGGGATGGACGGTGGATGCCCCGACCGTCGCCCCAGAGGCGGTCCGTCAAGGGCCTCGTGGGCTCGGCAGGGACCTGTCCATCCGCCAGGGGGCCATCGACGCCTGGGCAAATCCGGACACCTCTCAAGACTGCTGAAGGCCCAGCGCCTCGAACAGGTGACCCAGGGACGTTTCTGGGGCACTTGCAGGCGTCGGAAACAATCAAGCAACACTCACGCACAACATATGGTTCGAGCTCCCCCCCACTCCCCCTGAATGCAATGTCGGGTTCGGATCTTCCGACCTTGAGTGTTGGACCAGTGATGCGTAAACATACCAACTTTGAATTGTGGGGGGAGGGGGGAGCGTTGCTTATTTTTCCTTCAGCCGTATCGAGCCCGCAGAGCGGGAGTTACGGCGGGCACGCAGATGTTGCAATCAGTGGGTGTCAGGGATGTTGCCTCGACGAGGGTCGGTACCACTCCTTGCAATGTTTCTTGGGGGTGTGGTTGCGCCCAGGAGTAGGCGGTCTTGGATGCCAGCTAAGGGCCTTTTGGGGTCCACGAGGCACGAAGTGCGTGAGGGATGTGCCGAATTGAGGCTCCAAGGAGCCGTCGCGGGGTCAGCTGAGCGCGCTACATTCCTGGAGTGCGTGAGGGGTGTGCCGAAGTGAGGTTCTCATCAACATGGAAGGGCAATTCTCCGTATCCATTTTGGCTCAAGGCCCGCCGCCATTGGGCTGAGTTGGCAATGTTGGCTCAAGTGCCCGACGCCATTGTTCTACTTGTAGAGTAATCGCATCCTCGAGGCAGGGTATGGCCGCCCCTAGATGAGTCACCACGCACAGTGGCAGGGTTCCGATTGACACTGCGCCTAGTCGCTCTTCCTCGCGCGGAGAAGTGCTTCTACTAGAAATTTACAGAGAATGTTGAAGCGAGGGCACATGTTTCTGACGTCACCCGTTTCGCATGTGCCAGCAACATTTTGCGCCAGATATTTACGTTTTATCGGCTCCGAGAAAGTTGTGGTTCACCCAGGGCCGTCGTCATACACGGGAGTAAGTTGGGATCGCGCAAGACACTGTTGGAGGGCTAGGTTGAGCCATAATCATAAGATTATTTATCTGGGGGATTATCAGTGCGAGGTGGATGCGGCACGGATGTACGATGACGCAGTACGGATGATCGGCGTGGAAAAGCCCCGTGCTCTTCGGCGGCTCAATTTTCCGACAGATCAAGAAATCGCAGTGATGTCTGAGTGTTCAATCGAAAGCCGCAGGCGCGATAACTTAACCATATACGGTTCCAGCTTCGAACAGGAAGCGATAGCAAAACAAACTTTGGAAGTGTTGTTTCCAAGGGATGTTGAGCTCCGCTGGCTTGGCGAGGGGACTTGGGCAGATGGCATCGTCAGGCCTAAAATTCACGCCGCCGACGACTGGATTGGCGTACAAGTCAAATCCACGAGCAGGCGAGCGTATGGTGCACACCGGTTCCATCGAACGAATCAGTACGCTGGGTTGTTATTGTTGTGTTTTGCACTTGACCAGCGGTGCTTATGGGCAATACCTGGCCACGAAGTCGAAGCCACTACTTTAAGCATATTCCCTGGTGGCAAGTGGGATTCTTATCGATGCACTGCTGTTGGTTTGGCCAGAATTCTCAGATATGCTTGGGAAGATCCTGGCATGTGCTTTAGGCGGCGAACCGAATTTTGGGCGATGCCCCGCGCAGTGAAACATCAACTCGAGTATCGTTCAAATGAAGCTGGGGCAGCTCTCTTCCATCGAGCGGGGTTGTCAGTGAGCGCCCCGTTCGTTCAGAACGGGCCCGTTGACATTCTGATTGAAGGATGCATTCGAGTTCAGTGCAAATCCAGAAGCTCCCCTCAAAGTGCCGTGGGCAGCTACGGCATACTTCTCGGACGAAAGGCTAGTCGTGGCGTGCATCGTCCGTATATTGTTGATGAATTTGATGCGCTAGCAGTTTTTCTCATGGATTCGGGAACCTTGCGCGGTATGTATTTCATTCCCAATAGTGAGCTCTTACTACGTGGCCTTATAGGTAACCAGACTACGGCTCCACTTCGCGGGACGCGATCTTTGAGCTTGTACCCTCCATGGAGCACTCCTACTGAAAAAAAGGCAATCGAAGCCAAAGCTTGGCAAACCCCCTATTTCGTTCACGCGGGTGACGTAGCAGAGTGTGACGAGCTGCTCAAGCTCCGCGAGCTTGTTCTACAGTGCCGCCCATGACGAGCCTCCGAAGTTCACCCCGAAAAGCAGCCGCGCCCGAAGTTCCCCTCCCGAAGAAAAAACGGGGCGGGTGGCGCGCGGGCAGGCGGGCCCGGTGACGGCTCCGCCCTCGAAAGTGCGCGCGGTGCTGCTGGCTGGCCGGCGCAGGCGCTCGGCTGGCTGCGCGGCCTGCAGCGCTGGTCCCCCGGTGGCCCGGCCCCGCTGCCCTCGGAGCTATCGCGCTGCTGCGCCGGCCCACGGGCGGCGGCCTGCCCGGCGTGGGCGCAGGGGGCGCGCGCCGCCTCCACGCACGGTGCCGCCAAGGTGATGGGCAGAGGAGGCCCCAGGCCTCCACGACTCAGAGGCCAGGCTCGGACAGAGGCGGCCCGTCGCGCGACCTGGTCGGAGCCGCAGCCGGCCCCGGCGCGGCGCCCGCCCAGCTGCCGGGCCCCGCCGGCGGCGTATCGGCCGAGGCTCTGGAGCGGGCGTGCACGGCGCGCGGGAGGCGCTTTTGGACGAGTCGGAGGGCGTGCCCGCTCTTCGCAGGGTCCGCGATCGACGGCGGCCTGCTCTTGGGCTGGGTGCGTGAGCCTGGCGGCCAAAGTTCGAAGAAGGAGAAACGTCCTAAGCGTAAACTCTTGGCGCTATGCGCGGATTCCTTGGATCCGCGCTGGGCTCCCCCCAGCGGCGCTTCTGGCGCCGACCCTGGCGCGCCCCGCGCGCCAGTTGAGGGGGGTCCAGCGCGGATCTAAGAAATCCGCGCGGAGCGGGGGCTCCTGCGGGCCAGTCTTGGGGGGCCCTCTTGGGCCGTCTCGGGTCCTGGGGCGTCGTGGGGCTGTCTGGGCCGTCTGGCCGAGAGGGTGCGCGCCCGCGCTTGCGAGCGTCATGGCAGGCTCCCGTGGGGACCTAGGGGGTGCACGTGCACAGCAAGTGACTGTGTAGCGGTGGTGTATGTGTCTGTGAGAAGGAGAGAGAGAGAGAGACGGAGAGGAGGAGGAGGTGGAGGAGGAGGGGGAGGAGGAGGGGGAGGAGGAAGAGGAGGAGGACCCACCTCCCCCCCCCCGTGGAGTAGATCTTGGCTGTTTTGGGCGCCCGTTTCGAGCAGTTGGAGCTTCCCCCCATAGGATGCATTGATGCAAACAGTCGTATCGAGCAGAGGGCCGGAGCCAGACCCCCCCCCTTCCCCCCCCCTACCGCCCAGTGCCGAAACGCCGAATCAGAAAACGTTCACATCCCTGTCCATTCGTCGTCGTCGTCGTCGACGTCGACGTCGTGGTCGACTTCGTCGATGTCGCCGTGAGCCGTGTTGGCTCACGCTTGCTCAGGCCTGACGTTGAGCTCCTCCCGGCGCCCCGCCCCAGCCCGGAGCCATGGCACCCCGCCGCCCGGGTCGCGCCCTCCTGGTCGTCGCGGCCGCGCTCTTCGCCACGGGTGCGATCCGCACCGCCTTCGTCCCGGCGCCGCAGGCGGCACCTGTGCCCCCGGGCCAGCTCAACCCCACGCTCGCCGTGTCCGCCGCGCTGCCCACGCTGCTGTTCGCCGCGGACGCCGAGGCCAAGTACGGCGACCAGAGGAAGTGGCACTCCGTCCTGGTGCCGCTGACCACCCTGATCGTCCCGGGCGTCGCGTTCGCGGCCTTCCTGCTGTACACCTTCTCCGACGACTTCGCCTGGCAGCTGAACCCGAACGCGCCGAAGAACATTGAGAAGCAGGCGCAGTACGACATGGTCCCTGCCTGGAAGAACCGCGCGGACCCCTTCAGGGGCCTGTTGAACAAGGACGACTTCGAGAAGGGCCTCGAGGAGGCCTGGGAGAAGGCCAAGCCGGCGGGCAGCACCGTCACGGTGAAGCAGAAGTTGGCCGAAATGTCCACCCAGAACAACCCGCATTTCATGGAGAACAAGCTGGCGAAGCTGAGGATGAAGGCGAGGGCGCAGCTGTCCGCCTGA